ACCTCAAACTCTTGGGCTCAAGTGATTCTTTTGCCTCAGCCTCCTGATTGGCTGAGACTATAGGTGCCCACTACAACACCTGGCTACTTTTTTTTTTTTCTGCAGTTTTTGGCTAGGGCCAGGTTTGAACCCACCACCTCTGGTATATGGGGCTGGCACCTTTAAGCCACAGGTGCTGCCCCCTGGCTATTTTTTTTTAAGAGATGGGGGGGGGTCTCTCTCTTGCTGAGGCTGGTCTCCAACTTGGACTGGCAGAGTGCTAGGATTACAGGTGTGAGTCATGAGCCCAGCCTAGCTACCACTTTCATCTTTCCTTCTGCCTAATTTGAGATTAAGCCCACATAGGAAGGGTGTTTGCACACTGGGTAACCAAAACAGAGAAGTATCCACAGACAAATACTAGTGTAGAGTTTATGAGCTTGGTCATCCCATGGTTGCCAACAGTTCTACTTTCTCTTCTTATCATGGTGCTGACTAGTTAATAATGGTTCTATTGATAATTTAATAATCTTGAGCCTGGTGAGGGGTCTTAGCCTATAATGCCAAGATTTAATATCACTTGAGCTCAGTAGTTCCAGAGTAGCCTGAGCAAGAGTGAGATTTCCTCTTTACCAAAAATTTAAAAATCAGCCAGGAGTTGTATCTGCAGTCCCAGCTACTTAGGAGGCTGAGGCAGGAGGATCACTTGAACCTAGGAGTCTGAGGTTGATGTGAGTGAGGCTGATGCCACAGCACACTAAGCCACATACACCAGAGCTGGCGGATTCGAATCCAGCCTGGGCCTGCCAAACAACAATGACAACTACAACCAAAAAATAGCCGGGCATTGTGGCAGGTGCCTGAAGTCCCAGCTACTTGGGAGATTAAGGCAAGAGAATCACGTAAGCCCAGGAGTTGGAGGCTGCTGTGAGCTATGATGCTACGGCACTCTACCAAGGGCAAAAGCTTGAGGCTCTGTCTCAAAAAAAAAAAAAAATTTAATTTTAGCTAATTATGGGACATTTTCAAAATAACTTTTTGCAATCATCTCACAAATATTTATGCTCTTATCTGACATGTCTAATTATCTTGGTATATTATATACTAGTGGTTAAAGTATTATTGCATCATACTATGCAAAAATATATACATGAGGGCATACATCCTGGGAATATGAGAAAACAAAACAAGTAGAGTTTAGACTTCAGAGAATTTTGATAGGATCTTAGCAATTACTTCAGTGGTGCTCAGTATTAGCTGCAGGTGAGGATCATTTGCAGGCCTTTAGAAAGATATCAGCTGAGTAGGTCCTTCACCCCAGTTACCTTGGCTTCATTATTTTGGGGTGTGGTCCAAACTTCCCTGTGGTTTTAAAGCTCCTCAGCTGATTCTAATGTGCAGCCAGAGCTGAAAATCACTGATCTAATCCTGATGCCCAATTTCACAAACACAACAATTCAACAGGGTAAAGAACAGAAAACGGGACGGCACCTGTGGTTCAGTAAGTAGGGCGCTGGCCCCATATCCCGAGGGTGGTGGGTTCAAACCCAGCCCCGGCCAAACTGCAACAATAAATAAATAAAAAGTATGTATTTAAAAAAAGAAAAACAGAAAACGGGTCGAAAAACCTTAAGTTTTTAAACCTCTATTCTGTTTATTAATCTTAAAAAGTTGCTTATATTGTCAGTGTTTCAGCTCCTTCAACTGTAAAGGGGAGTAACAATAGATACCACCTTAATCAATTAAGAGAGCTTTTTCCCTTGGAGAAACAGAGGAATTGATGGGGATGAACAACTTACCCAAGTTATGCCTTGGTAAGCCAAGTACCGGGGGAGTGCAGTGTGGATGCAATCCAGCTCGTTCCCTTCACTTCTACCATTTAGTGGACCACGTTGCCTCAGGGCTTATTGTCTGAAGCCATAAGTATTAAACACTTCATTAAAATATCAACTATAATTCGAATTTTTGCTTTTAGTTCTATCATTCCCACTTTTAATATTGCTAAAAACAAGATACAGGCGTCATACTCAAGAGTTAACTAATTACCATGGTTTTGATTGGGATACATTTTTTATGGTTAAAGAGGAATAACTAAGGTGACGGTGGCTAATGCCTGTAATCTGAGCACTCTGGGAGGCTGAGGAGGGCAGATTGCTTGAGCTCAGGAGTTCCAGACCAGCCTGAGCAAGAGCAAGACCCTGTCTCTAAAAAAAAAAATAGCCCAGCATTGTGCGGGTACCTGAGGCAAGAGAATCACTTGAGCCCAAGAGTTTGAAGTTGCTGTGAGCTATGAGACCACAGCACTCAACAGCAGAGCAACTGAACGAGACTGTCTCAAAAAAAAAAAAAAAGGAATAACTAGAAAATGGGTCCTTAGCTGACACAGGGAGAAGAACCTGTGAACTATCATTTTGGTACCCAGTGTCCCTTTAAATATTTAAACATATGGCTTACACCTGTAATCCCAGCACTTTGGGAGGCCAAGGCAGGTGGATCACTTGAGGCCAATAGTTCAAGATCAGCTTGGGCATCAGCAAGACCTCATGTGAACAAAAAAAGAAATTACAAAAATTAGCCTGAAGTGGTGGCACTAGTCTCAGTTACTCAGGAAGCTGAGGCAGGAAGATTGCTTGAACCCCTGGAGTTTGGGGTTGCGTAAGCTATAATGATGCCATGGCACACTAGTCTAGCCAACAGACTGAGACCCTTACTCTCACCTCCAACTCCTAGACTCAAGTGATCCTCCCACCTCAGCTTCCCAAGTAGTTCGGACTAGAGGCAAGCTAACTTTTTTTATGGTCTTGCTATGTTGCCCAGGCTGATCTTGAACTGATGGCCTCAAGTGATCCTCCTGCCTCAGCCTCCCAAAGTGCTGGAATTATAGGCCTGAGCTACTGTGAGTTAAAAAGCAGAGATCAATTTTTCTATAGTTGGCTCTTGGAGCTTTCATCTGCTCAAAATTTAAAACAGTGAAACAGAGTGCAGAGAAATGCAATATTTTGCTTCATAAACACAAATTTGAATTTACCTATAAAATATTTCACTGAAAGTAAATAATATTTTTAAAATTAAAAGTTACTCTTTTAAAACAGCCAATGATTTCAAGAAGGAATCGAGAAACAAAATGTTTCATTTGTAGAATGATTAGTATTTACCTAAATTTTATTACCTTCTGCAGAGGTAAAATTTATTAAAAAATCACTTAGTTTTTTTTTAACTAGTATGATTTTATATATGTAATGTTTAACAATCTCACTATGTGTTTATTGTCCATCATTATGTTTTGTGTTGGGATTATTACTTATATTATTATATAATGATCACTCTGGATTTCCAATACTCTAAGGTATGCTACTTTATGAAGCTTCTTAAGTAACCTATTACTTCAAACATCTAAATTGGAAAAAAAAAAGTACTTTCCCTTTTTTGTCTTATCTGTGGTATCAAAGGCATGGATTCATTCAAATGACTGAACTTCCGACACCTATATGTTGTCCAGTCACTGAGGCCATTGTGTCCCTGCCTCCATAAAGCTTGCATTCTGGTGGACTATAAATGGAAAATGACTTTAGAAAATAAATTTCTTAGCCCTAGCACAGTGCCAGTGCCAGGAGATGCTAGTGCTTCCTATTCCATTTCTATTCAATTATATCACACCTTATGCTGAAAAAAAAAATCCAAACCCAGCTGGTCAATATTGCAGCTTGGTAAAACTGGAATCCATTCTGAGAAAAGTATTACATTGGAAGAGAACAAAATACAATACTTGTTTCTATTTGCTACATATCAAAAAATTCTTCCTCTAAATATAGTATTACTAATGGTGCTTTATAATTATAAGGCATTTTCAGAAATCCTGTAAATGAGCTAACAACTGTGTGAGGTAGACAGGGAGGTGGCATAATTTTGTGGTTAAGGGGATGGGCTGTAGATTCTAGACTTAATTTCAGTTCTGTGACCATTAAAAAACTACTTAACTTCTTTGATCCTCAGTTTCTTTACATATAAAATGCTAATATTCAAAGCTAATCCATTTGGTTGCTGTGCAGATTAAAATATTTAAAGTATTTCAGACAATGTTTACCATAATAATAAATGGTGACTATTCTCATTAGTGATATTGTCATTCTTCATGATTCTACAGATAAAGAAACTGAAGTTCACAAAGATGGAGACAAGGATTTAAGTATAGAGTGGAGGAGTGACACTTGACCTTCAATCTTCTGGCTCCAAATCCTTTCAGTTTTATGTCAGAGCATTTCCTAAAGTGTAAAGTAAACCATCGTTAGAATATAGAGTTGTTTATTTTTGGCTCAAGTTTATAAGGTTATCATTTAACCAATCAAATTTTCTTAAATTGTCAAATAAAAAAAGTATGTTATGTTTTTATAGTATTTTTCTGTTCCTTTTTCCACTTGATATTTAAGCTTTTATGTTATTTTAACTTTATTACTAACCAATTGATGCAAAAATGTTTCCTAAAGTCTTCCACACACATTATTTAATCCTCAAGTTGAGTGGAGTAAGCAAGATCAGTTTACACATGAGATAAACCCAGCAAGGTGGGTTTTTTTTTTAATTTCCGAATATAAGAGTACATACGATTAGATCACATTGTTCGCGGTTTAGCGCCCAGACCCTGCCGGTAAAAGTAATTTTTCTGATTCTAAATCCTATCTTAATACCACCTAGGCTTCTTAAAAGTTAAGAATGGGTGGGTGGGTGTGAAGCAAAGCTACTGTTAATCATCATTATGAAAGGTGATTTATTTCAATATGAAAAGTTACCGCCTTCTAAAAAGTTGAAAACGCGGCGAGATACCGGAACTCTTAATACTTTTCACACACGTGGGTCGGTCCCGACGAGACTTACAGACTCTAACACTTATAAGCGCCGCCCTGAGCGGCAGAGTGCACGCGGGACACTGCCGAGTCTTGCACGAAACACAGAACTCGGGGAATAAAGGAAGCCAAGAAGAGGTTGGACAAACGGTAAAAACAGCGAACGGGTCTTCCCCGACAGACTGATGGCGCGCTCGGCAGGGGCGGGCTGGAGGGAACCCGCAGCGCATCTGGCGGGCACCGAGGTCAGGCCCGGAAGCAGCTCGGTTCGTCGCCGGAGCGGGTTGCCCGCAGGCCCCACCCCAGGGGATGTGCAGTTTTCCTTCGGGTGGGGAGGGAAAGAACGGCGCAGATGAGAAAAACAGGTTGCGGAGGGTAGTCTGGTGGAGCCACAGGTGGAACCGGGTCGGAGTCCCCGGCGCGCGCGCTCCGGGGCGGCCGCACCTGCGAGCCCTCCGAGACGCCGTAGCCCCGCCCCCTCCGCGCGTGGCGCCCATGATGCCAGGCGCGCGAACCGCTCGCCTTACAGAGGTCGCTCTTGTCCGAACGGTCGGCCTCTGCTGCGCCTGCGTGGTCGGGAGGGGAAGTGAGGCGGTTTCCTCGGCGCCTTTTCCGGCAGCGGCGGCGGCAGATCTGGGAGGAGGAGGTGGAGGCCGGAGGGAGCCCGCGCTCGGGGCGGCGGCTGGAGGTAACCTCCCGGGCCGAGCTGGGAAGGCGGGCCTCCTTGGCCTCCGCTCCCCTCTGGGGCTCCGGCGGTAACTCCCTTGTCCCTCTCTGTGTCTCTGCAGGCAGCGCACCGAGTTACCGCGAGGATCAATGACCTGACGGGGCGCCGGAGCCGCGCTGCCTCTCGGTGTCCTGAGTCGGTGGTGAGCCGGGTGCTGGCGGGGCCGGAGGGCCGCAGTCTGCCGCGGCGGGGCGAGGAGAAGGCGGCGGAGCGGGAACCGCGGCGGCGCTCGCGCGGCGCCTGCGGGGGGAAGGGCAGTTCCGGGCCGGGCCGCGCCTCAGCAGGGCGGCGGCTCCTCTCCCGGCGCAGACTCAGGGCCCCGGCGGCCGCGGCGACCGGACGAGGCAAGTTGTGCGGCCGGTGATGCCCGAGTGAGCGGCCGGCCCGGGCCTCTGCCCCCAGGAGGCGACTCCCACGCAGGCCGCACGGCGCCCTCGCGGCAGGGGGGCTTCGTTTCGGTTTCGCGGCGGCGGCGGCAGCGTTGTTGGCGGAGGGGAACCGGGACACCTGAATGCCCCCGGCCCCGGCTACTCCGACGCGATGGGGAAGGTGCTATCGAAAATCTTCGGGAACAAGGAAATGCGGATCCTCATGTTGGGCCTGGACGCGGCCGGCAAGACAACAATCCTGTACAAGTTGAAGCTGGGCCAGTCGGTGACCACCATTCCTACCGTGGGTTTCAACGTGGAGACGGTGACTTACAAAAACGTGAAGTTCAACGTTTGGGATGTGGGCGGCCAGGACAAGATCCGGCCGCTGTGGCGGCACTACTACACCGGGACTCAGGGTCTGATCTTCGTAGTTGACTGCGCCGACCGCGACCGCATCGACGAGGCCCGCCAGGAGCTGCACCGCATTATCAATGACCGGGAGATGAGGGACGCCATAATCCTCATCTTCGCCAACAAGCAGGACCTGCCTGATGCCATGAAACCCCACGAGATCCAGGAGAAACTGGGCCTGACCCGGATTCGGGACAGGAACTGGTATGTGCAGCCCTCCTGTGCCACCTCAGGGGACGGACTCTATGAGGGGCTCACATGGTTAACCTCTAACTACAAATCCTAATGAGCATTCTCCACCCATCCCCTGGAAGGAGAGAAATCAAAAACCCATTCATAGGATTATCGCCACCATCACCTCTTTCAATTGCCACTTTTCTTTTTTGAATTTAAACTCTGGAGTTACTGTTCTACAGTTTGGGGGGGGTGGCTGGGGGTTTTCTTTTTTGTTTCTCTTTTTTCCTTTTTTCTTCTTTGCGTTAGGATGCTCTGATCTGACATTTGAGATAAACACAAAGTGCTAGATGCTCTTGTTAACTTCCAGCAAATGGGATGGGGAAATATAGCAGTTCTTGGTAAAGTCCTTTGTAATAATGGTTTGATTTTTTTATTTTGAGAAATCTTTTCTCCCCCAATGTATGCTTTTTCCTTTTTCCCCAGTTTCCTTATCACTTGCTGTAGATGGCTTATTTTGCATTCATGCAGACTATGTTGCAAGTCTGTTTCATCTAGTAAACTGAAAATTATTGCTTAATCAAACTGCCGTTTGTCTTTTATATTTAAGGCCTTTCCCCCTTATGATCTAACTTTAACTTAGTAATTTCAAATGTGACCTTTTATATCTAAGACCAGTACAGTAAACTCAGCCCACAGTGGCAAATAATGAGTAATATCAATTGTAATTTGTTCCAGTTGCACATCAGTATGTTAAACAGGTAATGTAAGAAGTTCTTTACAATGTCAGCAATTTAAGTTCTGAAACGTAACATCATGCATGAGTAGGAATAAACCCAAGTTCCCCCTAACATAGCTAACTTAAATGCTGCATTATTCTGCATCAAAATACGAAAATGTGTAACCCATCAAGGGCACAGATTTTTTTCACTGCAAAGTTAGTCACTTTGCTGTTTTTCCTCCTTTTTAACTTTAAAACTAGATTCTATCCAGAAATTGGAGCAATAATGGTGTATGCATCACACTCAGATGAAATATTTGTAGATATTTTAAGTGACTTTTGGGCAAAACTGGAATGTATACTTCTACCTTGTTTCAAATGTCTAAGACCAGTTTTAAAATTACTAAAACATTTATTTTGTTCTTTAATAAAGCATTAGCATTTAAGAATTCAAATTATATGCACCTTTTGCCTAGTTGAAAAAATACACATTCCTGTTTTCACATTATAGCAACTGATTAAGCTGAAGATCCAAGTCATTTTTCATAGATGAGTGATCCACATCTCCATTAATTAGAACACTGGAAAAGATATTTTATAAAAGGTATTTAATTTTGTTTGATTATAGGATTAACTCATGCAAATAGATACCCTGTTGGTTCAACAGTACACTGTCTCCTTTAAAGAAGGAAATGTGATGAATGAATGATATGTATATTTGAGGGATGACAAAGGGGAAGTAGGATGAAGAGAACCTACAGATGACAATGAATGTAAACTTACTTTTCTTCAAGGGTAAGCAGTGTGCTCACTGGTGATAATCCAGTTCCTAACAAGATTATGTGGTTAGCTGGTTAGGACCAGTAACTAGATGGAGACCACTATGATAATATTTGGAACCAAATGTTAATGCTTGATACAGAATTGTAAAGCAGCATCTGGTTCTTATATAGCCTTAAGGATTAATTTTAGCGATCCTCAAGGAATTAAACTTAGGGAATTTCAGAAATGTAGACTGCAAAGGCAGTATACAGGAGAAGGTGGAGTGGGCTGTGTTTATGAGGGTGTCTGAAAACTAAAATTGAGCGGGCTATCATGGTATAGTTGGACAGTAATGGTCCTTCAAGCTTTGGCCATATTGTATAATGGAGCTTTTACCAAAGATGTATGAGACGCATAAGGCTATTAAAAATGAACTATTCAAAGTAAAACTCTTGACAAACATTCTACTTAAAGCAGATGAGACAAGGTGCTAATGTTGTAGGCTCCTGCTGGTGCAGAGGGATTTTTGATTTCAAAATGCAACTAAAGTATGAATTTCTGTTTCACTTCAGTGGATGTATCTCTAAAAATGAGGCTGATAAACACAGGTAAAGAACATTTTGGTTGCTTTTTAAAATTCCCAAAGCTCCACCATAAATGTAATTCTTAGTGTTTTAAATGATACATGTTAAGGTACATAAACATGGATTATCCAAATATCAATGCTGTAGTAACATCCTGAAACAAAACAAGCACAAAGGTATAAATGCCTAAACTGGAGGAAACTTGAAACCCTCATGTTAATTCTTAAATGTAGTATTTCTAACTTGTGAAGACAGATTGGTAGGCAGCCATTTTTTTTTGTCTTAAAGTAACTGGAGGCATAATTAAAATTTTATACATCAAGTGATTGCTATTATTGAATGTTGCAGGTGAGATGTGGTTATTTTAGTTTTATTTGAACTGTCTGAAAAGGGGGGTGGGGGAAGCAAATATTTGAAATTTGGAAAACCCTTAACCTTTTGGTAAGAAATTGTAATTTAATTTTCATACATTTTCTTTAAAGGTATAAAAAGTTTATAATTTATGTAGTTAAATTGAACCACAACCGGGATTATGAAGCAGGTAATTATTATACCTTGCAAAAAAATTAATCTAAATTGAAAAGATCTTGAAATTTTTGTTTAATTGCATCAATTTCTGTATTTATGTGAATTTATAAACTGCAGTAAGTTTTGAATGAGGTTAATCTTGTTTAACATGAGTCTGTAGACTGTGATCTCCCCAAACTTAAAAAGTACAGTACTTGGAATTGTGTTCTTTATGGTTGTAGTGTTGGTAAAGCACTAATGCAGAAAATAAAGGAATTACACAGTGCAGTTTCTCACGTTATGTTACTTGACCTAGATAAATGGGAGGTGTGGTATGCTGGGCCATATTATTCTCCAAGGTATATGGCAAAAAGTGACAAGTTTGGAGTCACTTTTATAAATATAAAAAAGAGAATGTGTGGTTCTTGTAAATGCTGGCTGTTTTGAGGTTTGCCCTGATTTAGTTCCAGCAAGCTTAATCTTGATTTTATTTAGGACACAAAAACAGTAGACAATAAATTTCAAAAATTGGAAGGTCTTATAGCAGTCTTTATTCTACTGTTTTCCTAGGAGGTCAAAGTTGCTTGTCAGATAAAATTGGCAGAATTGTGGCCACTTACCAAAATTGTGGATCAAGAATAACTTGGGGGAGGCGCCTGTGGCTCAGTGAGTAAGGCGCCGGCCCCATATACTGAGGGTGGCGGGTTCAAACCCAGCCCCGACCAAACTGCAACAAAAAATAGCCGGGTGTTGTGGCGGGCGCCTGTAGTCCCAGCTACTTGGGAGGCTGAGGCAGAAGAATTGCCTAAGCCCAGGAGTTGGAGGTTGCTGGACCGACTCCGCTGCACCCTACCAAGGGCGAAAAAGTGAGACTCTGTCTCTACAAAAAAAAAGAATAACTTGGGTAAATGGGTTTTTTAAAACATTTTTGTAAGCATTCCCTCTTAACTGCAGCAGTTTTTATGGTTTGATTTTAGAATATCTTAATACCTGTAGTATGATTTAACCCCACCTTAATATTAGGTATTTAGAACTATCATTTATTAAGGTATCAATTTGTTAGTGATAGCAGTAGAAAATACTTTCCTCTTTAGTTTTTATGCTTTAATAGTATATATAAGCTTAGAAATATATGAGGCGTAACCTCAGGGGTCATGGAGCTTTACTAAATTCCCAAAGTCATTTCCTCAATACCTTGGCAAATATATATCAAGGTTATAAGTAAAGCAAGTCTTGTCTCTTTCCTTATAGATAAAAATTGTATTTATAAAACCACATATAGCAATTCTAAATAACTTTTAAGCCTAATCACTGAGCCTAATGTATCTCCAGTATAACATTCAATGGAATCCTGCTTTTTGCTTTGTTTAATTAAATGGTAGAGATCAAGTAGTAAAGATTACAGTAGTAGGAGGTTTATAAATGTGGCATGTTGGGAGATGGAGCCATAGAAGAGGCAAAGCAACTTTATGCTTTGCCAAACTTGAAAGTTGCTAGACTAGATTAGTGAGTTGAACTGGTGGAGACCACGTAGATAAGATCAAAGAAGACAGAACAGGTTTGTAGAGGGATTTAGGAATTACTGTTGAAATTTGCTATTAAATTAGCTCAAGTAATGGTAAACTTTACAAGAATTAATCTAAGAACTAACCTCATTCTGTAGAATAGTAAGAAAATGCTTTGATTTTTAACCTTTTTCTTTTCAAAATGTTTTATGACTACTTGGAATAATTTAAAAACAAAAGTATTTGTCACTCTTGTCCTTGAATACCTTTTCATTTGTTATGAAATATATTTTTTCCTATAGTATTAGTGTGAGGCTAGGTTTATTTATTTATTGAGAACCTACTAATATGCCTGGCATGGTTTATGTGCAGGAGGTACATCAGTATTAAAACACAATATCTACATTTATGGAACTCATCTAGCGAGTGGGGAGAGAGAACAAAGATGAGATGATAAGTAAAAGTTCATTAGGTGATTCACTATATGTCATACAGTATGTTACGCATGTGAGGAATGGTAGGAACCTGTTCAGAAAAGGCCTTATTGAAAAGGTAACATGAGTAAATATTTGAAGGAAGGAAATACTATCTTGGTGTAATTGACATAGTAACAAAAAGATAACATGTATGGTGTAGCACCCGGGTGGGAAAACATGCCCAAGGGCAGGTCTGGCTGCAGCCTTTTTTATAGGGGCTGTGCTAAGAATTTTTCATTTTTAAAGGATTTTCAAGGATTATAAGGAAAGGCCACCATGAATATTTGACAGTGATAGCACGTGGCCTGAAAAGCCTAAAATATTTACTATCTGGCCCTTTGTTGACCCCAGGTCTAGAGCTCAATTTTAAAACATTATATAAATATATAGGGAATCCAACAATTTAAAGCAAAGACCATTGTTGAATGAATCTAATCAAAATTTCAGGAAGCAGCGGCATACAGAATTTACCACATTTATACATTTAGCAAGTCCTGAGACTTGTTAGTGAATAATCCAGATTTTTTTTTCTAATTTGTGAAATCAGTAGTTTCTTGGTTGTGATTTTAGCATCAGTCTTTAAAAATGATCATTTGTGAATCATTTCATTTTAAATATTTCTCTTGTACTGCTTTTACTGGTCTTTGGATTTAATTTAAATATGCTGCTCTTAAGTGCCCTTTCCTCCAGATAACCTAGATTAGTTTGGAGTAGGTTCAGATAATATCATTTAACTGTGGCTGTAATCAAATCTTGTGTCCTGTATTTTATATTATTAAGAAATTCTGTAAGAGAAAGTGTTTTAGTGACTTGGAAACTAAGATACTGCATATTTGGTTTGTTTTAGTATTATTACTCTAACTAATATAAACTAGAAAAATAGCTTACTTTCCCAAAGAATTATTTCTTGCCTGGAGAGTTCTGTACTAATGTAGTAGGATATGGATGCTGTGACTATTTTATTTATTTGGTTTTTTAGCTTCACTACCCCTCCCCATTACTTTAAAAAGAGAAATTAAACAAAGTAATTTGTAAGGAGTTATGGAAGTAAATTTTATGGAGGACATTAACAAATCAGCTTTAAAAAATGAAAACACAGGGCAGCACCTGTGGCTTAAGTGGCTAAGGCACCAGCCACATACACCTAAGGTGGTGGGTTCGAATCCAGCCCAGGCCACCAGACAACAATGATGGCTGCAGCCAAATAGCCAGGTGTTGTGGCAGGCGCCTGTGGTCCCAGCTACTTGGGAGGCTGTGGCAGGAGACTGGCTTGAGCCCAGGAGTTGGAGGTTGCTGTGAGCTGTG